CAAGCAATTATTTTTATCACAAACACTACTTAGATCACGTATATGTAAGGTCACTGATTATATACAAATACAGGCTTATTACAACCTCGCCATTCATCATAGAACTATAGACATTTCACAAAAAATATAATAAATTGCATAACAATAGTAAAAATGCGATCATAATTAGATAGCTGGTCACTGTTAAACAGAAATCACAAAAAGAATGCTAGTCACAAAAACTATTCAAAAAATACGTTTCTACATCCCCAAAAAATTGAGATTGACTCAAACAAATGTATATCTCGAATATAATTATTTTGAAATGAGGTGCAAATTCTAACAATGTGTGACTATCTAAACCATAAACACCGAACAAATGTTAAATACGAATTTCCCATGAACTAAATCAAATAAACAATTTATTTAACTTTTCAAACAAATTATCTCGAAACATGCTTCAATCGGATTTTTCACAAAATAAAGTCACAAATTCTAACATTGTGCTACTACACAAACCATTCACACCCAACATATGTTAAATATGTATTTTCAATTAACTAAATCAGATAAAGATTAATTTACCTTTCGAACACTAGGATTTCGCGATTTAGGGGAGTTTTACGACTGGTTTCAAGCATCAAATCTTTATTCCCTTTCACGCTTTTTCTTTCCTCTGTTTTTCTTCTTAGGTTTCTCACCAATCTTCGCTCGACTTTTAGGATCATTGCTCCTTGTTAAAATCATTTTCAATTTCTTGTATTTTTTGAATGAATTGTGAAAACCATTTGACGAGTGTGCTGAGGTCACAATGTGATAATAGGGAAGAAGAAAATTGATTTTATGGATGAAATGGAGAAGACCGCTATTCAGTTTATGGAGAAGGTGATCGTGGATTTTATAGGTGAAATTGAGGTTTATCTTGGAAGGGTTCTTCGCATTTTATGCATTAGGGCATAGATCACAATATGATAATGGGGGAAGAGGATAGCGGGTTTTGTGGGTAAAATAAAGAAAACCGCTATTCCGTTTATGGAGAAGACAATCGTGGGTTTTGTAGGCGAAATTCAAGTTTAACGTGGAAGGATTCTTCGCATTTACATCAGCGAGTTTATTATGTATATGATATTATCTCTCATGTTTTTGATATATATCACTTTTTTATTTCCAAAATACACGAAACTTATATATAAAAAATATTTTGTGATGTATTTTAATTAATTGGACAAGTCTAGGTGGATCCTAAGTGTCAACTAAATCAGTTCTAAGCAATATTGGTGCAAGATATCATCACTCATTTAAGGCTTGAGAGTTTTTTCACCAATTTTTACCGATTTTAGGTGGCACCATTTGTGAGGAATTGAAAAAATCGATGCTTGCTTATTTTTTGGACACCGATTTTAGAAGGTTTAAAAATCACCAAAAATCGGTTGTAATTTTGATCGGTTCTCTCAATCCACCAAATCGACGAATTTTGACAGTTTTCCATAATCACTTCTAATTCTAACCTCCATAAAATAATTATTTCAACAAACATATTTTTTTCAAAACTAACTTACATATAAAAATATATTAAATAAAAAATTATTTATATACAAAAAAATTACCTTATACTTAAAAAATACTTTTAAGTAAAATATTACTTATAAGATAAAAAATTAAATTATAATTAAAAAATTACTTAAAAGTGAATTATTATTTTTATGCAAAAAGACCAATTATAAAATAAACATTACTAATAAGACAAAAATCACTTATAAAATATAAGAAGTTATTTATACGTAAAAAAATCACTTAAAATTATTTAAAAGTACAAAATTAACTTATAATTGTAAAATTTACTTATAAATAAAACAATTAACTTAAAATTTTAAGTAAATATTTAACTTTAGTTAATTTTTTAATGTTAATAATAATTTATATGTAAAAAAATTACATATAAGTAAAAAATCATTTATGAATAAAAAATTTCATATAAGAAATTATAAATTGAAAATTTTACTAAAGGACATTTATTTAATTATGTGGATAATAAACACCTAAGTATAGGTTGGATAGTTTTTAAAACCGCTACTAAAATCATTCAAAATCGATTTGCTCATAAACTCTCAAAATCGGCACTTTAAAAAATTCTCATAACCAATACGTCAAAACTCCCAAGCAAGCGCTTAGGAGGTGTGTTCAATTGAGACTTTTAAAAACATATTTGGATTTTAAAAAATTAGGAATATTCAATGTAGACTTTTTTGTGACTCTTTAAAAATATTGGGGTATTCAATTGAGACTATAGATTTTTAAACAGTTTAAATGTCATGTTGTATTCAATTTAAACTTTTTAAAAGTCTCTATAAGTCTTGGATTATTCAATTTGTCAATGACTTTTAAACATTTTTATAAAAGTCCTTAGGGTAATAACTTTTAAACAAAAAATACAAAAATAAATCTCAAAATTTGTCTATCATTTATCTCAAGATTTTGGAAGATGGACACAAAAAAATAATAATAATAAAAATAAATAAATAAAAATTAATATTTAATTTTTATTTATTTTCAATATTTTTCTTTCTTTTTTCATTCTACGGACAAATCGGAGCAATGATTAAAATTTTTTTATACCGATTATATTTCTCTCTCTCTCTCTCTCTCTATTATTTTTATCTCCATTTTCTACATAAAAATTATTTGCAACTAAAGATTCTTAATTTTTTTCATCCATTTTATATGAAAGAATTCCATTATTTCGATAAAAATCTAAAAAAGTCTACGAAATCCACAAAAGTCACAACTTAAAAGGGTATATAAAAGTATTCAAAAATCCCAATTGAATACACCCTCTAGTTAATCAATCATTAGTTCATATGTATGTGTAACAATAATGCTATTTATATTTTATACGTACCGAGGATGATTCTCGTAAGATGTGACAGCGACGAGGCATGAATTCATAAGGTCAATTAAATATAGAAATGTGAGACATGCTTTATTGATCTTATTATTTAATACGATATATCACCTCAAATGGAGATGATGAAATAAATTATGATGGGATTATAAGGAAAAGTGATCTATGAATCCAACAAAATATGTAAATAATTAGTCGATAGTAATTGTGAATTTGTGCGGTATCATGTAAGTCACGAGACTATGCTACATCGCTTTCTCCATTGGCTGACCTGAGGAAGAACCATCAACAACTTTTCTCTTCATACAATGGTGAAACTAGGATTTTGATTTGGAGGGCCTACGATGATTGGTTGGTAAAGAGAACGACATTTGAAGGAAATAATAAAGTTGCATATTTGTTCAGAAACTTCGTTAAAAAATATAAAACTAATCAATTTTGGATTAACCGTAAATAAATATAAAAATAAAATAGTGAAAAAAAGGGAATCAATATCTTATATAAAGTTGGGTTAAGCACAGTAATTTGTCAACTTTATGTATCGAAAATTTATATTGTACATCTCACTTACGGAAATTTAGTGCTAAAGTTAATAGAATTATGTAAAAAGGATGGAATTCAAATATAACTTAGGATCCGTTTGATTGAAAATGTGGAAAATTGGTGAAAAGAAAATGAATTCTAAGGAATTAAATTGTTTAGTAATTATTTTATTGAGAATTGTAATTAATTGCGTTTGATTGGTATAATTTTCCATCTGAAAAATGTTGAAAGTTTTATGT